TTCTTTGGCTCATCAGGTAGGCGCAGTCCCCGAGTTTCTGTCAACCTTATGTTCTACTTGAAACCAGTGGGGTTTAGCCGCAGGTATTTGATGGTGCCTACTACAACTATGCCGTTAACTTCGGCAAGTGTGCTGAAGAAGTCCATGCTCACAAAGTTACCGTTCAGAAAGGATTTTACTTCGGGGTTGATGGCGTGACAATCTTCAACATCAATACGGTTGGACTTTTAACACAGTACTATTAATTACCGAATTCTGCGACAACAGATAACCTACCAGAAATCTCAAAGACCTTGTCGATTCACGATTCTTTCAGGTTAATCTATTCATTTGTTTGCGATTGCAATACAAACTATTGGGATCATACGATGTGATGTCTGAAGCAAAGAATTACTGAGCGCAAACCGTTCTGAGTGGAACGAAAGCAACCAAACAAATTAACAGGAAAGTTACGGCTCATCCGGTTAACTGCTGTCAACTAGGTGTACAGTGGTCAACCCGGTTGGTTCCTTCAGCATCACTTACTGTGCCACGAAACCTGTCAATAACCGTCCGTTAGCATGTGCTGACGGTAGCTGAGGTCACATGGCTACGCGACCCAACCTCTTGTCCCCCCAGATGGCATGTGCATGCCCTGATCCTGTCAGGACCTCTTATGGCTAACATGATTGAACATCCCAAATGTCTCACAAAAGGCTCTAACCTTTCGTATTGGTCCTCATAAGGCACTATCTGGCTTTTGTTGCCTATGTTTCTCTGCTGTAATTTGTATTTTCACGGTGGGTTGCTATTCGAGTCGTTAGGGAGGACATCTATCAATCGAGATTTCGTCCGGTAAGCAAGGATAATTTGTGCTGAAATACATTATTTAATTCATAATTGGAATTGTCACCAGTGCCGGTGTAGCAAAATTCCAGGGGGTTTCGGAACAGCGACTTCCTGGATAGCAGCTGAGGGCTTGACCGTTCGGCCACTTTCGGGACACAGAATGGGGCATACAATATAGACGAAAATGAACACACGCACGCTCAAACACTTGCTTTTCTCTGGAACTAACAATGTGTTTTGAAACTTCATCTCCATAGAAGCTGCGCACTGCATAGCATGATTATAAAGCCCGTACTAGCAATTCGTGAAGAGTACTCACCGGTAAAGTAGGCTGGCGTTACTGGCAGACATAACTTAATCCGGGCTGAGTCTCCTGTTAGTATCAGCTTAATTTGCAACTGAGTGCACAATGTACTTTTCAAGTTGAAGACAGGGTTGATGAAAAAAATCGTGGAACAAGCTGCCTTGTGAGCCACATGAAGGAAGAAATCGGCAGTGTGTAATCTTATAAATACCATGTTGGTAAATCTAATCACTAAAAACTGATTTTGTTGGACACGGCAGGTGGTTGGTCGGCATGTTATACTGTATTTTATCGGTGCAGTACAGTGGCCCGGAATCCTTGGAATACTTCGTGGTTACTCGTCCAAGGCACGAAGAGACTGGACCTTACCTTGGTGTGACGGTTTGCGCACCTCAGCGATCCATTGAGCTATACTGGAGAGTGTCTCGCGACACTCACAGTCTCTCATACCAGGTTGGTCAATGGTTAGAGGTCTGACGAACACAGTCTCCTGGCCCTCCAGGTTGGGGGTTGGAACATGTGGCGACTTGTTCCGTAGAAATGGTAATGCATTTGCATTTCCCGCCAAACACCGCTGCCTTGCGGTTGGGCTTTTGAGCCAAAGGCTTCGGTTGAGGACCTTAATCGTCC